GTGGTTTCCCATCTTGGTTAACACCAAGGAAGCGGGGCTAGCTTCTGTGCACTTTACGTGGGCGGGGCCCGAAATTCTCGCAGTCCTCAGAGTCCTTGCGCCAGGGGTGGTCTTGATGTTGCTTGACCATGACACCTTGTTCACTGCCAGGTGGGAAGCAGAAGAGCTGCGAAGGTTTGCAGTCCTCGATCTACTGCCCAATACCCTCTCGACGGAGTCACTGGGCAGCATGGAAGTCGAGACGGACGAGACACAGCCCTGTGGCTCGCTTCCAGCCTCGCCGTGGAGTTGCTCGCCGGACGGGTCCATACCGTGTGGGGCCCGATCGCCAAACTCAATTGGCATGGTTTGTGCGTCCGAGGACCAGCTCGAAGCAAATGGGGGATTGGTCCTCTTCTACCCGAATGCTCCGGACGGCAAACATCCCCGGCCCCCTCGCTTCTGCATTCCTGGCAACGTCGCCGAGCCCTGCAGCTAGCCGAGCCCTGCAGCTAGTCATCATGCCCAGTGAAGTGCCCACTCCATTGCCTGGTATGCATGCAGGTGCCGTTGGACCAGATCCATTATCGGCAATGTCTACGCAACACCCCTCTTGCCGGAACCACTGCTCACAAGCACTCTGACTTTGTGTTTGCGTGGGCACTTTTAGGAAGATACATACATGAGGTTGCGTGGAAAACGGCCGACCTTACTGCTGGCCGGCCAGAGCCAGACATCCAGTTTGGCGCCTCCCCAGTCAGGCAGGTCAGAGGGGTCAAAACATGGGGACAAGGCCCATATGAACAGGGATTTCTTCCCTTGCTCATGGGTTACGGCGGCTCGCACTCCCGTTTGGCAATCCTACCTGGTCCTGACTTATTCATGGCGAACCGATACGCCGAGGTTATACCCCCTCCTTTTGTGCATGGATATGGTGCCAAAGGCAAAAACATCTTGCCGCAGTGGGGGAGTGTGGTACGGCTGCCTACTCTACCCGAGTCGGTCTGGGGCAACGGGGACACCGTCCCTCTGTGGGCCTCTGTTGGGAAAAAGGGCAGTGGACCAGTGCGGCTCCAGCTCTTCCCTGGGTCCTCATGTTTTGGAAGAAAGATGCCCTATCTTCCTGCAGGGCCACCCCGAAATGGCGCAGTCGACCCAATACCCCAACTGGGCCGCTTGCTCTTCTTGCTGCCGCTGCGCATGCTTGGCTGGCCCAGGCGGATCTGCCGTGGCCTCTCTTCGCCGCAGACATAAAGGTCACGCCGTTGGGCCTCAGTCAATACTGGGATGATGGACTAGCCATGCGTGTGCAACAAGCCCTGGCAGCCTTTGCCTTTCCTGCCTACCAGTACCCGCCTCCAAAGCCTCACCTAACCCCCTCAGGGGAATGTCGGTCGCTCTTCATTAGCGGGATGAATGGGAAGGCCGAGAATACGCCCCCCACTGTGTCGGGTAGCATCATTCACACAGCCAATTCCTATGCACTCACTGGCTTAGAAATGGAAACAGTCCGGGACAACCAGGGCAAAAAGGTCCGATATGAGGACACACAACGCCCGTTGTTGCTTTCGACCAGCGGTAATGCCGCACATGCATTGTTGCTCCTGCCCCAAGCCGCCCAGCTATGGGCACGTGCTCTGTACCCTCAGGTCGAAGGATGCGGTCTGCCAGCGGCGGTTCGTGCTAGAATCAGCTCGGTAGAAGCCTCCCTGACAATGTGCCCTGCCCTGGCTCACTTGCACATGCCACATACTGCTGCGCTGACCGCTCTGCATGTGGGCCTCGCCGCGGGTAGAGCTGGCGAGTGCAAACTGTGCGTTACGGGTTTCTCTGCTGGGTCGTATACGGGCGCTGCTGTGGCTATCGCTTGGCATGAGCGCCAAAAGCTTCCTGACTGCAAGGGCGATTTTGTCCACATCAAGGCACGTTTGGGCGGCGTTGCCATGCCACGGGCCATGCTGCAATATATCCTGGGTTCGGAATTGCGGCACGCTGTTAGTCTTGTCCATCATGAGAGCGACCAGCTTTGTATCTTCCGGCCCAGCCAGGCAGCAAGGACGCAAGCGATTGGCGCGGGAGCGCGTCTCTACTACTTCACTGGACCTGAGTCACTTGGCAGTGGTGGACACTCTTATGGTCACTTTGAAGAGCTATTCCAGCTCACGCCGGGGGATTATGTGCATAAGGAATTGACTAAAAAGATTTGCGGCTTGGCCGACCCCCGGATGGATCGCACAGTGCGAGCAGGTTTGATGGGGGTTGCGTGTGGCTCTGTCCAGCTTTCGGATAAGTCTAAAACTTTCATCAACTCCGTGCTGGGACGGCAAATCAGACGCCCCGATATGGAGGTCTGGCTGATTTGCCGCCCCCGTATCATGAACTTGGTCCCACGATGAAACTAGTTTTGGGTATGTGGCTCCCCCACCTGTCGTTAGAGCGCCTGGTTGACATGCTGGGTTATCAGTTTTTAGCCATGGCCTCGGAAGCAGAAATCGAGGAGGAGCCCTCGGAACAGTATCACTACCCAGAGCAAGCTGCGGTCAAGCGGGCCGCCGCCCCTGTGGCGATAAAGCCCGGCACGCATACATGGCCAATCTGCCTTCTCCATCGAGTTTACCCAAGGGCATCGGTCATGCTCCTTACACCGGAGTTGGCGGATGTCCCTGACTGGGCTAAAAAGTGGTTTGCTGTCGCTGGTAAAGTGCCGGCCAAGGGCACTGCTTTGCTGGTTACCTTGAGAGAAGACAAGGGGGATGTGGCCTACCCAGGCATGTTTATAGAGCTCCTTGCCCCGAAGAAGCTTTTCACCGGCCCTGGAGAAAGTAAGGCCATGCAGCCAGTCAATATAACCATTGCCCTGCTCTTGACTGATGAACAGCACAACCAATTCGCGCAACGACCCTCACTGCCGAGAGTCAGCCAGCTTGAGGTTCTGCCCGGAGGAGCCTCTACCCCGCTTTGGGATGCTCTGTTACACATGCCTAGGGAAAGGCAGCATGTTGCATTGGGCGTTCCGCTAGAAGACTCGCCTCTTGATGCCATCCGGCAGCCACAGTGGTTGCCGGGCTTTCTCACAGATTTAGTGCTTGTCCTCCTTATCGGGCTAGTGGTGAGAGGGAACTGGCACGACACATGGGCACAGCTCATTCACCCGGAGGTCTGCCAAGTCTTCAGAGGCAAGCACGAAACGCAAGCTGCGCAGGCATCGCTTACTGCGGGTCCGGGGGCTTCCAACCCCTTGCAAAGCTTCCTCAACCTTTGGCTTGCGGAGGAACAATCCTATCGCAAAGAATGGAAGTGGCGTGTTAGCTACGCTGCCTGACTCTCCACTGCCCGGCCAAGAGGACGCCCGGACTCCTGCGCTGTGGCATGCGGAGTGTCTACGCCTGTCCCATGACTCGTTGAGCAACGAGCACGATCCGAGGACTCGAGCCAGCATCTTTGCGCTCGCGGTTGGTCCCGCCTTCCTTACGTGCCTCTGTGATACCTTTTGGGGGGCGGACGGACACCTGGCAGCGCTGCTGGGAGCGTGCTCGTACGGCCTGGCCGCTAATCGTACTTCTGTATTCATAACGGGTGCGCCCGGCAGCGGGAAGACACGATCCTGCGCGTTTCTAGGAGTACTCCTTGCGTGCCTGACGAGCCGGCTCACCCTGTACACCGCTCATGGCAATGAATCGGTTCGGGCCTATGTCGAAGCGGTTGATAGGCTCACGACTGCTAGCAATGAATTTGTTCGCAGCCGCATCGTTCGCATACCGGGTAACAAGGAGAAGGACACACATAAGCTCCCTTTTGATGTGCACGATTTGTACCGGGGGCTACTTGTAGCCACGACACATGGTACGATTGTGGCAAGGCTTAGCTTTCCCTACTCGCAGCTCATTAACCGTCTAAAGGATGTTGAGTTGCTCCTCCGAGATGAAGCCCAGCAATTGGGCACGCCTGGTTCCAACACCATTCTGGCGCACATCAAGCATGCACTTGATGTCATGATTGGCGACCACAGACAGCCCGCTGGAGGATCGCGACCCAATTACCACTTCGTCACGGAGTTGTTGGAGCAAAAGATTTGTGGTCTCAATGCGGTCCCTGCCGACCTCCACACGCCAGCCACCTTGCCTGCGGCCCTTTTGCGGCAAACGGCCCAAAGTTCCGGCCCGTGGAAAAAGGGACAAGGCGAGATGCCCTCTTGGGGCAAGCCCCACTTGGATGGGCTTTTGGTTTACTAGGAGAATAGATCGTTTGCCGTGCTTATTAAGATGTTATTATGCTGTTATTAAACGGTTATGAACCATTATATCTCATTATAACTCATTATAACATGTGTAAGTGTTTGTGTTGTTTGGCAGCATTAATTAAAAAATAACTAAATCTGCTAACAAAGCTTATAGTTTAATGACATTAATAAGCATTTAAAGTTAAAGTGGTTCAAAGGTTTAGCAGGTTTAGTTGATCATGATTAGCAAGTTATTAACTATTTAATACCATGAGCTAATTGATTATAGTTCCTTTGTGCTTTCATTGTTTTTTACTGAAGATGGAGCAACAACCATGTACATAAATCTGAGTGGTGTCAAGATCGATTGGGAAAAACAATGCACGAGGTCGGTTATTGCCTTCATGTTGGGCAAAGGTGGAATTTCCCGGTTGTTTTTTTTGAAGCCTTAGCAGGCTGGACATGTTGCTTCCATGTTGGGCAATTGGACCAGTTCCGCCTTTTTTCGGAAGCCTTAGCAGGCTGGATTCATTGCTTGTGTTGCAGCTTTTGAGTTTGTATATAACATGCATGTGTCCATCTGCCATGTCTGCATGATGGATTTTAGCGAATTTTGCATCCTTTCTAGCTTGGCTGGAAAGCTTCTGCACGGTGAAAGTTGTTGACAGGGCTGCGAGCATGGGCCACATGCACACATGCAGCACATGCAGTCATGAAAGGGATGCCTAAGTAAGGCACTCTGCATGCATGCATGTCTACACAGGGTGTGTTTGTGGGCTTGCAGTTCTGCTAGCTTGGAGCCATGAATTCTGCCTCTGTGAAAGCCATGGAATCCTGTAGGGATGATCCAGTCCTGGCTGTGAATGTCAAGGCCTCCAAGATGCTCGCCATCCTCAGCGATCAGGGGTACATGCAGCACCAGATGCTGCACCCCAACATGCTGGTCGTGCACCCTCAAAACCGTGCTGGTGTCATGGTGAATGCATGGAACGTGCATCAGAAAGGGATAATGGCCCTCAAGGTGGGTTGGAACTTCAAGAAGCTGGAGGAGTCCTACTGCATGGAGATCTCCCACAACCATGACAAGAAGAAGAAAGTGCTCGCAGAGATGGAGCGAGTAGTGCTGGCCAGCGAAGGCATGCTGGCACCAGTCAGTGGCAATGAAAAGTACCAAAGCCTTTCGGCTTCTCACATGTCGCAGTTCTGCAAGGCTGTCAGTGCTGGCTGTGTCACTCAGGAGGAGGCTGTGAAGTCCCAGGTGCTGGCCTTGGATGTGCTCCTGAAGGACTTCCCTGATGAAGGCTTCAAAGCAGCAGTCACTGGTGGATGGAGCTGGCACTGCATCGCCAGTGTGGTGGAGGAGAGCCTTCCATGGTTCTGCAACTTCTTGCAGGGGGCTTTGAACAGTTGCAATCACATTGCAGCAAAGGCCACTGAGATGGAGCTGGCACTCCACATGAGACCTACAAGCGAACCCACAGCATGGACATGGCAGTGCTGGAATGCCAAAGCATCAGCAACATGCCGCACATTAAGCTGGTGGCAGAATTCGTGAAGAATTTCGCCGGTGGTGAGGATGCCCCCTTGATCCAGTTGCTGGTGATGCTGGAGAGGGCCTTCAATTCCAGCTTGATGCTGGGAGAAGAATTCATGCTGGCAATTGTTCGCACAAATTTCGGGTCCAGGGAGACAACCTTCCCTGTCTGTCGTGCGATGTTAGTAAGTGCCAATTTGAGCTCTCCCAAACACCAGGACGGGATAAGCAAACTCCTTGTCAAGAGTGACGTGCTAAAACTGAGCAGCCAGAAAGACCAGCTTCTAGCATGCGAAAAGATGGGGAAAATGCTGGTGGAGCAAAACCTGCAGAGCCCGGACTTTCAGGACCCCACTGCAGTGAAGATTCTTGGCCGCTTTTTCATCCGGACTGCCTTGTATTTGACGAGGAAAGAGGGCAAGGGCAGGGAGGCCCAGACCTACGGTAGCCTGGCCAAGATCCACGAGCAGTATCTGCTGGAGAAGCAGAAGGCCACGAGCAGCTCAAGCAGCAGTGCTGGTGCAGGGCAAGCGGGAGCAGCAAGTGCGAAGGTCCTCTCCCTGCAGGACTTTGCAGCCATGTGTTTAGGGTGCAGGGTTTCGTTTAGGGTTTAGGGTTTAGGGTTTAGGCCCATGCCTGGAAGAGCTTCAAATAAAGAAAAAATATCTATAATGCATGGAAAATGTTTGTTGCATTAGCAAGCAACATATAGAAGCTGTGTGCTGGGTATTGTCGGTTTATGCAGGAGACCAGTGATGCTGGCTTCATTGCTGAGCAGAAATTCTCCTGGCTGAAGGTTGGCTCCTATTACATGAGGAAGGAGGACAAGCAGATCTTCAAGTTTGCTGGCATTACAGCTGAGAAGGCCGAGTTCACAATGCAGGACATCTTTGGCAAAGAGGAAAAGCTGGAGGTGAAGCACGAGGACTTGGTTCGCTTCAAGGCGAGCGACAAGAATCCTCCAGCCAAGGTGGAGACGTCCTTGGTGGAGAAGCTGCAGCCCGGAAAGAGCCTCACCTGGCCGCTGGAGCTTGAAAGAGCCCAAGTTCAAGCAGCCTTGCTGGACAACTACAACCAGTGGCCTGGCAGAATTCATTGTGGCCATCCACATGCATGTTCTGGATACAGCAGTGGTCTGACACAATATACTTGGCACACCAGATTGTAGCTTGATTTTTGCAACATAAAGCTACACATGGCTTAAATGAAAAACATGTAGAGATTATGCACCCCTGCAAGTATTCGATTTTTTTTGTATTGGTTCGTATACAAGCAAGGAAAAATGCAGTGGACTTCCAGAAGTTAATCATCTGCAATGACCAGAAGGTGTTTGCTGCTTGCAACATTCCCAAGCACAGCATGAAGATTTTCCCATTTGGTGTGGTTTCGCTGGTGAAAGAAGAGGACGGCAAAAAGGCTTCTGCTGCATCCAAGGTGCTGGTGTCTATTAAGAAGGGCAACCAGTATCAGGTCATGCCCTCAAAGGTGGACCTGGCAAAGCAAAGTGGATCCATCCCGCTTTTCTTTTGGATTGCTGCTGTGGAGAAGCAAGAAGATGCCACCCTGGTGCTGCAGGAGGGCATCCATGACATGCTGCAGATTCCTTTCTTGAGCCCGAAGGCGATGGTTGCGAAAGGCATGCAGCTAACATATTTCAAGGCTCCTGCAGCCACCGCTGCGCCCAAAGATGCTGAGCCCAAAGATGCTGGGCCCAAAGCCAAGAAGGCCAGGACCTAGTGAGATGCCAGCTCATGCTGGCCTTTCGGTCTTTGAACAATTTGTAGCTGGAAGCTGATTGAGAAGTCACGACCTTGCCAGCTGGCCTTTCGGTTTTTGAACAATTTACACCTGGAAGCTGATTGAGAAGTCACGACCTTGCCAGCAGCCCCAGACAAGATTGTGCACGGCCACACTTGGCTGCTTTGCTTTCGCTTGCCTGTAGATGATTTTCGTTTTGAAGGCTTCTATGTCTTCAGCAGCCTTTGAAGCCTGATGCCCTCCAATTAACTTTTGATTTTTGAAGCAGCTTTTCAAGGCTTCCATGAGCAGCTGCCTTGTTGCAGGCATGGTCTGTAATGATACCATTTTTGTGGGATTGCATGAAGAAACAATGCTTCTTGAAGGTACAATTTCGGTGAGAGAGTAGCACCAAGTGTATAGCTTGCCCGAAGCTTCTTCAGCCATGGTGGAGATCCAGGAGAAGTTGCTGCTGGCCTACGAGGGTGGCCCCTTAGTCCCGATTCCTGAGGAGTTCCTCTTCAGCAACACTGCTGGGAAGTTCCTTCGTCTACGAGTCTCACATGCCGGCATTTGCAAGCTGATTGCTGGCAACAAGTACTCGGATTTGTTCAAGCAAGTGAGGAACCCAAGCTTGAGCTCGGGCCCCAACTACAAGAAGCTGCTGGACGAAATCCAAACAGGGTACCACCGACAAGCCAAGCAACTGCTGGCCTCAGCTAGTAGTGGCAGTGCTGGTGGCGAAGACTTCTTCGAGGACGGGGGCGAGCAGGCGGACAAGGTGCGACCCAAGAAGGTCCTCATCAAAGATGACATGCCTCCAATCTTGGAGCTGATGCTGGATGGGACACCAATCAAAGTGGCAACCCCTCCATCCTTCCGAAACATGGTGGCATCAGTGCTGGTGGAGGAGACCAACTTGAAGAACTGCTTCGACTTCTTGTCGAAAGACATTCCCAACTGCTGGGGCGATGCTGGTGAGCAGCAGAAGCGAAAGTACAGGAAGAAGTCTTGAGTTTTCACAGACATGTCCATGCTGGGCTTCTCAGTTTTGTTCCAGTCTGGCTGGAGGCTGACTGACGACATTAAACCGGAAGACCTGGGCAGCAGTCCCTTGCAAAAGAGACCATGCAATGCAAGGTGTTTGGTTGTCCTTTATTTCGTTTGCACATCATGCAGCTTCAGATTTGTTGGCCGGCCTTCGTAGGCTCGACAATACAGCCTTTCAAGGCTTCCTTGCATTTTTGAAACACACTTTTAATTTTGGCAGCCTTTGCAGGCTTCATTTTTCTGTGTTTGCAAGCAGTCATGCTGTGTGTGTGTGTGTGTGTGTGTGTGCAACTCTTGAAGTGGTCCAAGTTTCTGTTGTGTGGCAGTGTTCAGGCTAGCCAGGGGAAAAGTCGGTAGCCTGAGAAAAACAACAACAAGCAAGTGGTGTCAGCAAGAACAATGAGTAGAATTGGGACAGGAACAAGAGCAGCAACACAGCACACGAAAAACAACAGCAGAAACGATTCTAAAAAACAACGAGAGTAAGTACAAGGAGCAGGGAAGAGAGAAAAAAGAGAAGGACAGCGACTGTCTAGGCACCTTTTTTATAATGCTGGTGTAATGGTATACTCCTCAGACCAGTAGCAGCCTAGCACTATCGACCATAAACCCTAAACCCTAAACCCTAAACCCTAAACCCTAAACCCTAAACCCTAAACCCTAAACCCTAAACCCTAAACCCTAAACCCTAAACCCTAAACCCTAAACCCTAAACCCTAAACCCTAAACCCTAAACCCTAAACCCTACAACCTAAACCCTAAACCCTAAACCCTAAACCCTAAACCCTAAACCCTAAACCCTAAACCCTAAACCCTAAACCCTAAACCCTAAACCCTAAACCCTAAACCCTAAACCCTGAACCCTAAACCCTAAACCCTAAACCCCAAACCCTAAACCCTAAACCCTAAACCCTAAACCCCAAACCCTAAACCCGAAACCCTTAATCCAAGTAAGACCATGAGCGAAGCCATGGCAGCCAGATCCAAGAAACGAGCTCCCTCTTCCAGCTGGATGCCAGTGAATCCGGAGGACTCCTGACATGTGGATGCAGACATGAAATTTGAAAGCATGCTGGCACATGTGCCAGGATGTGGCAGACGAGCAGGTGGAAGTGCTGGTGGAGGCCTGCCAGCAAGTACATGAAGATGTGATATGTTGGAAGTCATTGCTGGCAGGAGAGCCCGGGGCCGTTTCCGAAGAGTCGGCCTCGACCGTGGATCTTCGGTGGGCCCAAGAAGAAGGTCAAGGCTGAGGTGAAGGAGGAGCCTGCCTCGCCAGTCAGCCCTGTGCTGGAGGAGGAGGCAACTTGGCTGGGAATATGTTTGCAAGTTTTATAGAAGCCTTTACAGGCTCAACTTCATGCATGTTTGGGCTGCCTTTACACAGGCTTCTTTCAAATTCTTCAGCCTTTTCAGGCTTGATTCCTTTTTGGGCCTTTTTAAATTTGTTTTGTTTTTGTGAGCCTTTCGATTTGTTTTCAGCCTTTGCAGGCTTGATTTTCTTTCAGCCGTTTGAGGCTTGATGTTTTTTAGCTTTCTGCATGCATGGTCTGCTGCAGGAAGACGACGAAGATATGGCACGAGCGGTGGAGTACCTCACCAGGGCAGCTGAAGAAGCAGATGCTGCCAAGGGTGCTGGCAAGGATGCTGGCACGGATGGTGGCGAGCCACCTTGGCGACGGGATGGTGGTCCAGCTCTACCGGGGCCACCTCGTGGAAGTGCTGGTGGTGGAGCTGGTGGGTGGGCGACACGAAGACCTGGTGGTGGAGTTCCAGCAGCCTTCGCTCTGAAAACCACTGCTGGTGGAACTGTGAGAGCTGCTCGGGCAGCTGGTAGCACTGGTGCTGGAAGCAGTGCTGGTGGCAGCAGAGCCGATGGTGGTGGTGCTGGTGCCAGCAGTGCCGATGCTGGTGGTGCTGGTGGTGCTGGTCTCACGACGTGGACAGACGCTGCTGGCAAGGAGCACACATGGCGTGTGCCGGAGAAATCCAAGACAGGTGCTTGGAACAAGCTGGCGACGTTGGTGGGCCTACACCTTGCTGGTGAACAAGAAGCTTTGAAGAGTGAGCTGGATAGGCTGGCCAGTTTTGTGCCGATCCAGCCACAGCTGGCTGAGATCCAGCGAGTGTGGTGCCAGGAAGGGCTGGAAGCCTTTTACCGGCTGGGGTACTTGGCAAAGCCCAAGCAGTGAGCTGCTGGAAGTGCTGGTGTGGCAGTGCTGGTGTGAGAAAGATCAGTGGGCATGCTGGACATGCTTGTGTCATGTGATGCCGTCATTGCAATTTTTTTTTTTGAGCAGCCTTGCTAGGCTTCGGTTGTTTTTGCAGCCTTTGGAGGCTTTGTTTTTTTTTTCAGCCTTTGCAGGCTTCAGATCCTTGAGTTTTTTGCAGCCTTTGGAGGCTTTGTTTTTTTTTTTCAGCCTTTGCAGGCTTCAGATCCTTGAGTTTTTTGCAGCCTTTGGAGGCTTTGTTTTTTTTTTTCAGCCTTTGCAGGCTGAAAATCCTTGAGTTTTTTGCAGCCTTTGGAGGCTTTTTTTTTTTCATTTTTTTTACAGCCTTTGCAGGCTTCAGATCCTTCAGTTGTTTTCGTTAGCCTTTCGAGATTTTTTTTTCTAAGCCTCTCCAGGCTGTTTTTTTTCCGTGGCCTTTGCAGGCTTGAGATCCTTGAATTGTTTTCGTAAGCATTTCTAGATTTTTTCTCGTAAGCCTTTCCAGGCTTTTTTTTTCCCCCCTAAGCCTTTTGGAGGCTTCACAGCCCTTATTTTGCTATGTAAGCATTTCGAGATTTTTTTCCCTAAGCCTTTCCAGGCTTTTTTTTTTTCGTAAGCCTTTCGAGGCTTCAGAGCCCTTATTTTGCGAATGTTTTTGGAGCCTGTTTTTAAAGTCTTTCGAGGCTGGTGAATTTGTAGTTTACCATGAACCCCAGACCGTAAACCCCAAACCCTAAACCCAAAACCCTAAACCCTAAACCCTTAAGTTTAAAAGCCAAACCCAAAACCCCAAACCCACAACCCTAGACCCCAAACCCTAAACCATAAACCCTAAAACCCTAGCACCAAACCACAACCCCCAAACACCAAACCTCAAACCCTAAACCTTACAACCTGAACCCTGAACCGTATACCTTAAACCAGAAGCACCAAACCCCACACACTCAACCCTAAACCCTGAATTAAAAAAAATAATCACTAAACACTACATTTCAAATCGTTAACCTTTTACCACAAACATTATGGTTTTAAAATAAAAACATCTTCAAATACTTAGTTTTAACCAAAAAATATAGGTTCACAATATGTGTTTTGTGAATAAGATTTAGATTTTGTGTTGGTTGAACGTTCAAACAATGTGGTCTGGAGATTGACATTCATTGATTTTGTGTCAATTTTAATTTGAAAATCTCGAAATCAGCTGATTTAGTGCAAAATCTTGAATTCAGTGGGCTGAATTCAAAATCAAGAAAAACAGAGTTTGAATTCAGCCCACTGAATTCAAACTCAGAAATTCTGAGTTTGAATTCAGTGGGCTGAATTCAAACTCGGAAATTCTGGTTTTGAATTCAGTGGGCTGAATTCAAAATCAACAAAAAACGAGTTTGAATTCAGCCCACTGAATTCAAGATTTTGAGTTCAGTGGGCTGAATTCAGCAGCTCACAAAGGTAAACCCCAAACCCTAAACCCTAAACCCTAAACCCTAAACCCCAAACCCGAAACCCTAAACCCCAAACCTACAACCCTAAACCTTAAACCTAAACCCTAAACACTAAACCCTCGACCCTAAACCCTAAACCCTAAACCCTAAACCCTAAACCCTAAACCCTAAACCCTAGACCCTAAACCCTAAACCTTAAACCCTAAACCCTAAACCCTAAACCCTAAACCCTAAACCCTAAACCCTAAACCCTAAACCCTAACCCCAAACCCCTAACCCAAACCCAAAACCCTAAAACCCTAACCCTAAACCCTAAACCCTAAACCTTAAACCCAAAACCTTAAACTAAACCTAAACCCCTAAACCTAAACTAAACCCTAAACCCTAAAACCCAAACCCTAAACCCTAGACCCTAGACCCTAGACCTAAACCTAAACCTAAAGGGGGTTAGGGTTTAAGGTTTAGGGTTTAGGGTTTAGGTTTTTTAGGGTTTAGGTTTAGGGTTTAGGTCTAGGGTCTAGGGTTAGGGTTAGGTTTTAGGGTTTAGGGTTTAGGGTTTAGGGTTTAGGTTTAGGTTTAGGGTTAAGGTTTTTTTTTAGGGTTTACAGGTTTAGGTTTAGGGTTAGGGTTAGGGTTTAGGGTTTAGGGTTTAGGGTTTAGGGTTTAGGGTTTAGGGTTTAGGGTTTAGGGTCTAGGGTCCAGGGTCTAGGGTTTAGGGTTTAGGGTTTAGGGTTTAGGGTTTAGGGTTTAGGTTTAAGGTTTAGGGTTTTAGGGTCTATAGGGTCTAGGGTTTAGGGTTTAGGGTTTAGGGTTTAGGGTTTAGGGTTTAGGTTTAAGGTTTGGGGTTTTAGGTTTGGGGTTTAGGGTTTCGGGTTTGGGGTTTAGGGTTTAGGGTTTAGGGTTTGGGGTTTACCTTTCTGAGCTGCAAACTCAGAAGCATCGAAAAAAAACAAATTAGTAACACAATAAACTTAAACTTGATAGACCATGGAATTTTTTAAACAATGAACCTTGAACTTTCACTACAAAAAAAAAGAATTGTGTTGTACGTGCAGCTGTGGCAAGCTTTTTGTTTGGAATAAATATGAAATGTATGTTGTTTGTATTTTGTATTGATAAAGAAAGCATGAACCATGTGCATGTTCAGTTGTTTTTCCGAACCATTTGCAATTCTGGCAGCTGTGCTGGATCAAGTGTTGGAAAAGAAAGTGGTGGCTCCTTTTTTTCGAAATGTCATTTCGAATCGAGAGCTGGGATGAAATCAGGGATCTTGACAAGGACAGCATGCTGTTATTGAGTGGGCAAATATTTACAGCAGTATTTTGATGGGGTTTGAGATTCAATACCTCGTCCAGACATGGTCAGGACGAGACACGTGTGTGGATATCGTGGAAGAGTGGCTGGGTGGATGAGTGCCTGGGCTTCGGTGGAAAGCAATGTTTTGTGTTGTGCTCATGTTCATGCAGTGCAAGTCAAGGATTCCCAGAGCGGATTTCAATCCCTATGTGATCCAGTCCAAGTGGTGCTGGCACGATGGTGTGGAGTATCGGGTGTGCCGATACCATGATGGCTGGGAGTTCTGGCTTCCCACCTGCACTTAAGGTTAAGTTTTTGTTGTGTTTCTTGCAATCTGCAGACATCTGAGTGTGACATGTCATTCTAGCCTGGTTGCCATCAATTCAGGATGACGAAACGTCGCCTGGAGATGCTGGCCTACAAGAACATTGGGCCAATCGTGCTGAGCATGTTTCACCCTGGTCGACACTGAAGAGTGCTGGTACTGCTGGAAGGTTTGGGTGAAGAAATGTTGCCTCAAGCCTTTAGAAGCTGTGATTCGCAATGTGTTCTTGAAGCTTTTTCAGGTTACCCATTTTGAATGTGCAGCCTTTCCAGGCTTTTTTTTTGCAAGCCTTACCAGGCTAAATAAAGCAGCCCTGACACGTCATATTTCTAAGCCTTACCAGGCTGAACACATTTCAATTTGAAGCCTTCCCAAGCTTAGCTTTAAGCATGGCTTCATGCAACCTTGTTATTGCCTGCATGGTAATGTCATGCACAGCTTCATGTGCGGCTTTGAACCCAAAGACACTTTCATCATGCAGACATCCTTTATCCAGATTGTGTGGAATGCTTGTCCACAATATGCAGGCTTGTAATATTTCACACACACACACACACACACACTGCTCACCATGGATCCAGCCCCATGGCCGAATGGTGATCCAGTCTTGAGCTGGTACGAGAAACACATTCCTCACACTCTGGAATGCTGGCATGTCGACATTCACTCGTCTGGCTGGCACCAATGGTCTCTCAGGCGCGATGAACCATGTATCCACATGCAATGTCGCTTGTGCTTTGACTGCAGGAGCTACGAAGCCCAAATTCGCCCCATTGCCCATCTCATGCCGGATGCAGACATTTATTTGAACCTGCTGGAGAAGCTGGATGAAAGCAGAGCCCAAGAGGCTGGAGACCACAGAAGTTGCTGAGTGCTTATGAAGCTTATCCTCTGCAATTGCAGGCCAGAAGCAGGAGGATGCTGTCTGGGCAATGACGAGGACCTATTGCTTGGAGTCCTGCTTGAATGCATGCTTTGTTTTGAAAGATATAATGCACAAACCCTTGCAATTGTAATATTGATGTTGTGGTTCTGCAGGACCCTGCAGAAGACCAGAATCACAATTCGCTGGGAGAGCAGAAGGGCAAAGTTGCTGGAGCTGCAGAAAAGACTCATCGAATTGGCATGCTGCTGTTAATGTTCGAAAGCTTTGTATTTGGTGCACCTGAGCACAACATGCATGTCCGTAATTCTTTGTGCTTGGAAGTGTTTTCTTGAGTTTCCACTTCTTTTGTAGTTTTCTTTTTGGTACAATGGCCACAGCTCCTGCCAATGCTGGCCAGCACTGGCAAGTCTCTGACATCAAGCAAGAGGTGCTTGATTTGGAGCAGCTTTTGAAGGTTCGGCCAAACCTCCTGACGAAGCAGGATGTTTGGATGCAGCAGCTGCAACAAAAGTTGGAAGCTGTGAAAGTCTTGCCCCCAGCTGCCATGCTGGAACTTTACAAAGTCTTCGAAGAAAGTTCTTTGCCCAAGACCATCGTGGAGAGCTGCATCGAAGTGCTGGATGGCAAGGCCCTGGGCAACCAGGAAAGCGGGAGCTCCAGACTCCAGCAGAAGCCCCAGCAATGTGATTCGCTGGTGAAGTACCTCACTGCAGAAGAGATCGAAGCTGTGGAGACTCAAGACATGTGGTCTGGCACAGCAGTGCTGGCGAAGAGACTCCGATTGCTGGGTGTGAGGAGCATGAAGGAGTCCACCAAGAAGGTGGCTGTGGCCGTACTCCTTTTGCTGGAGTTCAAGCGAACAAGCAAAATGCCTGGGGCTGACATAAGCTATACTTTGGCCCAGCACATGCTGGCAGCCTTTGATGGCTGCCCGATTCAGATGCCAGCGGGTGCTCCCAACTTGGCAACATACCCATCCGATCCAGCTGGGCTGGCAGCTAGCCATTTGCAAGCTTCCTATGCTGCTGGCCAGAAGCCTTTAGGCAAGGCTTACCCCGAGTTGGCCCAGGTTTTGAAGCACGACACAGTGGTGAGGGGCAGCAGCAAGAAGTTGAAGGGCAAGCAGCCGAAGCCAACTGCTGCTGCTGCTGGGTCATGCATCTGTTCAGGTTTTGTTGTGGCATTTGCTTGAATTTTTTTTTGCATTCTGCATATAATAAGGTTGCATGCCCGGAACCTGCTGGCCCGCACTTGGAGATCCAGGCCATGGCCAACATGCTTCAGCAGATTCTTACTCCTGTCGTGCAGACTCTCACTGGTCGTGCTGGCCAGCAGCAAGAAGACCCTGTGAAGTTGACCTTCTTGAATGCTGGGCAGCCTGGACAGATGCCAGTGTCCAACACAGCTGCTGGCCAGCTGCAGCTCACCAACAGCCAAGCAGCTCCAGCACCTGCTACAACATCTGCTGCTGTGCCTCTTCAGACGAGCATGCCTGCAGAACCAAGTGACAGTGCTGCAGGCAAGCAGGATGAGACACCTGCTGCTGGGAGCAAGCCATCTCTCATGGAGTTCGAAGAAGAAGCTTACCGACAGCTTCAGAACAAGAAGGCAGGTGTGCTGAGAAAGCCAGCTGCAGCCAAGGCAGCTGCATCCAAGACTCCTGCTGGTGGCAAAACCAAGAAGGGCAATGTCAAGCCTGCCACAAGCAAGAAATCCACATTGAAGCTGGGTTGCTTGAAGTGTCGTGGTGCACTGCTGGGCTGTGTTCAATGCAGGAACCCAGCCTACTCTGGCTGCAGGCTTACAAGAGCCGAGTGGGTGGCATTGGCCCGAGAGCGAGGTTTGAAGTTCTGAGTTAGGGTGTTTCACAGGCAGGGGTGCATCCTTTAGAGATGCTGGTGTCAAGAGCATCTGCTGAAATGCAGGATGTTGCACATTGCTGGTCTGACCAGCATTGCCCAGCTGTGGAAAAAAACACATTTGCCTTCATGCATGTGTTCTTGAAAGCTGTACATAGCATCATGTTGGTTTGGATTTTTTGAAATGTTTAGCAAGTTAATTTTTTTTCTTTAAGACCTTCAAAGGTTGCCAGAATTTGTTGTTCAGCCTTATAAGGCTCAGTGAGAGAATTGTGTTGGGCATGCTTGCTCACAGCTGCCAATTAATCTCCTTTGTGGTGTCTTGTGCCCATGCTCAAATGAGAATGAGTTGTTCGTGTGAAAGCAATACTATGGCTGCCTATCTCAAAGATCCGCTTTTGTATATTGTTTCAAGTTCTTTTACATGGAGCATATATGATATAATCGATATATGAGATCTGGCATCTTACAGTGATCCTTGCAGCCATGCTTGCTGTTTCTTTTCTGGTGGATGAGTGAAGCTCCTGCCAAGCACAGAAGATTGAGTGCTTTGAGGCATGCAGTGCCACATGTCAGCAAGTCGAGCTTGGAATCCATTTTGAAGTACGTGGACAAGCATGGCTTGCCTGAACGGATGGATGCCAAAGCAATGAGAGATGCCAATCGATCACTGCTGGCTGATGCTGATGCCTATGGCCCATTGCTGGTCCACCAAGATGTTGTATGCATGGATGGTAGCACTGTGAAAGTGCAGTTTGTGAACCTGTGTTCTTTCCTGCATTTTGCTTACAAGCAAGGAGGCAGCTGGTATAATTGCATGAAGACTTTGCTGGAGTCCAATGCTGCTCCTCTTGGCCTCTGCCTTTATTGCGATGAAGTTTGCCCTGGCAACCCTCTTGCTGCAAACCCTTCCCGAAAATGCTGGGTGGTCTATGCTGGATTCAAAGAAATGGGTCCCCTGTTGAGCAATGAGAATGCATGGATTACATTGTGCATTGTGCGAAGCAGTATAGTTGCAGAAGTGGAGGCCAACATTTCCCAGATCATCAAGAAGATAGTATTTTTGATTTTCCTCAACCCTTGGTGTGACGTGCAGGACCTTGGCATTGCCTTGCAACCTCCAAGAGAGCATGCTGGTGAGCAGGGCAAGAGACTGAGGCTGTCTTTGCGATTGTTTATCCAAGATGGCCAGGCCCAGAAAATGACATGGAGTGTCAAGGGCGACTCTGGGAGCAGATTTTGCAGCCTTTGCTCCAATTGCTTCACAAGCAAGGGCTTGGAGGAGGATGACGAAGCTATGAGCTCGGCTTGCGAGTTTACTCGGCATGCACAGCTGGTGCAGCATTCTTCTGAAGAAATGCTGGCTAGTTGGGACAGGATGCCAGAAGAGACACTTGCACTGCCCAGGAATGGAAGCAGTGGCAGCAGGCAACTGGTGTCACATTTTCTCCCGAAGCTTTGCTGGCATGTGCAGAGTTGAGGGGCCTTTTGGCACCGACCAAGCAGTGGATGCACGACTACATGCATGCTGTGCTCTCCAATGGTTTGCTCTCTTATGGCACCTTTTATTTGTTGCAGGAGTTGGATTGCTGGACCACCTTCTTCGAGTATAGCAAGTTTTGGCAATTGCCTAAGCAGTTTGCCTCTGTGTCAATCAGCCAGCTCTTCGAAAGCAAGCGAGTGGCCAAGCACAAGAACTCAGGCAAACTGAATTGCCAAGCATCAGAGCTTTTGTCTGTGCTCCCTGTGCTGGCACACTTTCTCCAAAAGGTCTGCAGGGAGCAATCTGCAGGGACTCAGGCTTGGCTGGCAATGGTTGCTTTGTTGGAAGTCATTCACTCTAGCTGCAGTGGCAAAGTCACATCAAACCTGGTATTCCACTTGGTGGAAGATGCATTGGGCAAATGGAAAGATGCTGGCTGGCCTTTTAGGAAAAAGAATCATTGGTTGCTGCATTTCCAGCAGAGCTTCCAAGACCATGGGGTTTTAATAAGCTGCTTTAGCATGGAGAGGAAGCACAAGATGATCACTCGAAAAACTTCGCTGGTGCACAACACAACTGCATTTGAGACGTCAGCTATGGAAGAAGTTGCCACTGGTGAGCTGCAAACATTGGCCGAGGACGGCATGCTGGATGCTGACATCAAGTTGCTGCAGACCAAGAAGCCTGGACCCAAAGACAAAGAGTTCATCCTGAAGCTGTGGCCTTCGGCAAGTCATTCGGTGCTGGCTGCTACTTCTGCGAGGTGCCAGGACGGTGCAGTCAGTGTTGGAGATGTGGCTTTGTTCTACGATCCTCGAGCGAAATGGGCATGTGGCCGCATCAAAAAGCATTTCCAGCATGGTGCAGAGAGCAGGACAGTGCTGGAATCTTTTTGCCTCCTGGAACAGCATGGCCATTATGCTGTCTGGAATTCTGGGGCTGGCGATGTTGCGATTCCTCTGCAACAAATTTTTACAGCTGTCACATATGCCAAAGATGCTGGGAAGATTGTGACTTTGGTGCCCTGGAGGTGGAGGTGAAAAGCAGACAACCATGAGCATGAGGTTCTGCTAATTGCATACACAGGCACCTGCATGTTCAGTATCTTGTTTTTGCCAGCCTTAGAAGGCTTCCTGTGGCATGTATGCTTTCATGGCTCAAGCATGGCATGTTTCTGATTTTGCAAAGCCTTTCCAGGCTCATCCTAGTGTCCGTTTGAGGATCGCCTGAGCTGGAATGGACGAGTTTGTTTTTCGTTTCTCTCCATGTCTTTCAATGTCTCACCTGGCCATTGGATAATTATGCCATGGCATTCTCACCCTTTCAGGTGTTGTTGCTCCAGTTACCAAAGCCTATTTTCAATAGATGTAATGGAGGTTTTCAGGTACCCTTAATGGACTTAAATGCTTAGCTAAATATTAAACTAAATGGTTAAGTAATTGGTTTTTAACCATTTATCATATCTTTAATCTAACGAAGCTAACCCTTTTAACAACTCATTAGTAACTAGGATAACCATCTTAAATCATTACTAAGCCAAGAGCCCATCTAAGCACCGTTCCTCTGGAGCGTCTGAGGTATTGTTCTCAGCGGTCTCGATGCTGGAATCGATTCTCTGTATAAGCATCGTCAAACCGAAGCAAGCCGAGACAGTCATGCAGGCCGCCGGGCTGAAGGCCATTGTCGGACCGGCTGTCAACCTCTCGCTCTGTTCATCCATGCGCCTCCCTCCTGAGATTGCTGCCATTCTATACGCATGTCGGTACTCGGAGGCGTGCCGCTTCGAGCTGATAGGCAGGGTCCCTCGGCTACGTATGCCACCAGGTCCCACGATGCAGCACCTGCTCGGGCGGCCACTGCGTAGCCTTGCAGGCAGGTGGATGGAAACGTGTCGATGGGTACGGGTGCAAGATCAGGATGAGACCCAAACCAAAATAGGCAGAAGCTACGACCTCAGCATGGTCCTGGCGGACATTGTGCTCACTTTTGGGCACCAGGTCTATCCTGACTCCCCTATCGGGATGGTCTCTCAGTATGCCAGGATTGTTACCCAAATGAAGTTTATGCTGCAGTTGAGTCTCCCCGCAGACCCACTGGGCGATGACGATATGAGCCTACTTGAAGCCTGCCAAACCGCGGAAGACTTCCCGCTGACTGGCGCGCCCAACACTTGGAGCCTTGTGACGTTTCGGACCTTCCTCATGAATCGCATAGGGTCCCTTAAACGCTTCTTCGGCGCTATCACCACGGCCTGCTCCACTGGCCCCACATTTGGGATATGTGTCTTTGTGACATGTCGGGCTTCTGGATTCCTGTTTAGTAGCGAGGCAGGGTTTGCCCGAGCCACCTCCTCCTTCACGAGAGGGCTTGGGGCTTTGGTTTTCGTGGCACCGCACTACTCTGATGGTATAGGTGCATGCTTCCAAATGGCGGCCTGCGCAACCGGGGGCCTAATTGAATGCGCTGAATATGTGCGCACACAAGCCAGCTTGTGGAGCATGGATGGCCCTGGCATTGCAACGGCATTACACAAGCAAGCCTTCCGAGAACGGACAGTAGCCAGCATCGTGCTGCCTGCGGAACGCAAAGTTGGGCTGGACCTCTTTGGAACACCACCCCTGCATCAAGCGTGGGCTTTGAAGGCCACCTGGGGAGATAAGCGGGAGGTTTTTTACCGCACACTTCAGCAAGAAGGATGGGGGAGTCCCTCTTTCACCTCCAACTCCTACTCGGGCACCATTGTTAGTCTGCAAACGCGCGGCTTCGTCCTGGAGCCCCTGCCCAATGCTGTGTATTGTGTCCCCTTCCAGCCGGTGAGGGAAGGAGATGGGGTCGCCCAGTACCTCACCTGCTTGCTAGGGGACACCAGCATTAGGATGCCGCCCAAGCGGGGATCTGCTCAACGCGCTGACCCGGCTTTCGAACACAAGGCCGGCATACTGCGAGCCCCCCGTGGTCTTCACCTCCTACCTGTTCGTACGGGTAAGGCTGCCTCCGAAACTGCGATTGATGTGGACTCTCCGGGAAACAGCCCTGTGCCCGCGGGTAGTAACAGTCCCGACGTGGTAGTTGCTACTGCAGTCGAGGTTCCTACGCCGCAGCAGTCGCCAGCCCAAGGCGAGGCTACCACCAACGCGCGCCATGGCGAGCGGTGGGGTACACCATGGCTCAAGCCTCGGGCCGCGGGGGGCTCCATTGCGGCAGCTGTCAGCCCGCCTCCGCCAGCTAGACGGGACGTTTCCCGAACCCCTTGCGGCACCCCAACGCGGGAGAGAGGACCACTGACGAAGGAGCCTGCAACGAAAGAGCCTGCGGTTGTGCCGGCCGCGAGTCCTATTGCTCTGGATGCTTGTGTGACGACTCCCTCTAGTGAAGTTGATCACAGGATCGGAGGGGGTAGCGCCGCCTCGTGTCCACCCCGTAGTGGCGGCAACATTAGGGACCCGCCGCCTGGCGTACGACGTCCACCCAGCCCCCGGACACGGCCCACGCACACAGCATCTCCGGATGGGATTAGGACGGTTGAGGCGTCACAGCCCCCTTGCGCTAAGTCTCCCACGGACTCACTTGGCCTGACGGAACCAAAATCGTATCTCCCTATGCCTCCCCATGGCCTGACGCCCATCCCCGCCAGGCCTGTGCCCGCTGTCCAAGCTCGCAAAAAGAGTCGGCCTCTCGCTTTGGACAAAAACGGCTCTCATCAGAGGGACCAACTGGCAAGGACCACCTGGTGGCCCAGACGGCTTGGGTGGGAGGGCCTTTGTTGAGCCGGTCAGAAAACCAAGTTGGGCGAGCACCATTTCGAACCAACAGCATCGTTAGGTATTTGGCCCCTGTCGTGATATGTTTGTTTCGAAAAACTCAAGCAAGAGACAGCATTCAGAAGCCTTGAAGTGCCTGCGATTCAGTTGAAACCTTACCATGTTTTGTTTTCGTGGCTTTAGTCTGTGGATGCTTTGTTACTTGACTAGATTTTGAGTAGTTTTTGGCATCGAAATTCATCGTGTCATGAACAAGTATTTGTTGGTTTTGCATTTTGAACGATTGTTTTCGCAGCCATTTTTTTACTTGTAGTGAGACCTCTCACTCCTCACAGTCTTAGTGCTGGCAGGAGGCAGAGGGAGCGGCAAGAGAGCTCAGTTGCAGTCAGCGAAGTTCAGGGCAGGACTCAGGATCCCCTACAACACTTTTGAACTGCAGCTACTGACTATGGTTTTCTTCAATGATTGTGGTGGCTAGTAACCAGCCAGAGCTTGTTACTGTAAGCCTCACATCGTGGCCTCGCTAAGCGAGACGATGTATGCCGAATACGCTGTCCCTGAAGAAGATCTTCACATTCGTCGGACTTGGCAGCATGTGCTTTTGCAGAACCTCGTGACAGGAGAGTTGGTGGTTTTGAAAGACACACAGTCCTGCAAGGAGTGTGATCTCCTGGCAGGGCCTCGTGGGTTTGTAATCCGGCTTGTGGATCTGGATGGAGAGAAGAATGAGATGCCAGCCCACGAGCAGTTGAGGTACGAGAAGGTCGCTGATCAAATTCGAGACAAAGTGGAGGGGACCACCGAGAGGTGGACAACAGCTGCAGCTGCTGTGAAAGGCTGTGCGATCAAGTTACAAGCACTTGCGAAATCTCGGCCTTCAAAATTCCCCGAGCAGCTGGGGTGTCAGGCTCATTATTTCCCCATCTCAGGTGGCTCGTGGCATTTTGTGGAGGTCATCAGAACAAGAACTTTGTTGGTGCATCCTCAGAGTCCTGGCACTTCAAAGTGGGCCAGTACCTTGCTGCTTTGGAAGGCGAAGAGGAGGACCTGGGTCCGGAGGAACTCAGGAAAAGGGTCCAAATTCACTTCGTTGTCAGTCGCAAAGTAGCAGTCGCGGCCAAGGCCAAGGCAAGGAGCAGGAAGCGAAAACAGCCCGAGGAGGAGGAGGAGGAGGACGAGGGGGAGGAGCAGCAGGTTGATGAGTCAGCCGAAGCTGACCCCGGACCTGCAGGCGAGTACTCGGCTTCCTTTTTCACAATTGGTGTCCTGCTGCTGCACTGGAGTACGAGGAAGCTCCACGAACGGAGTCGCTGGAAGGGGAGCAAGGAAGCTGTGGCAGCCAAAGCCACGACATTGTTGCGAGCCCTAGTCACTTGTTCATCACTGCATCCCAGCAGGTCGAAGCCAAAGAGGCCAGGCTCAACATCACTGTCCAGAGCGACTCCGTGCAGCTGGACTGGCCATCGTTTTGCAGAAGCGATCCCACCGAAAGCCTCGAGTGCCTGGCTGAAATGATGCCTACAGGCGAAAGAGACTTCTGCGAATGCCTGCAGCAGTGCTGCAAGCAGGAGGTGAATCCCAACTTCACTTTGAAGAAAAGGAGAGCTTGCCAAAGGGCAGTGGCCTTGCTACTGCAATGCTTGTGCCACCTCATCGAAGCCAGCAGGATGGATGACATCTGGAAAGAAACCGAGCTGTGGCAAATACAGCCACTGAGGACGGGCATGCAGGGCCTGTTTGTGATGTGAGAGCATGCAGTGCATAAGCTTTGTTTTGATTGCTTTGCTTTGCTAGTTCACTTGCTGTTATTGCCTGGTGCAGGAGCCGAAAAGGCTACAAGAGGCTGAGTGGTGAACAGAAGGCAGCTGCAGACGAAGAAGCAGAATCTCAGGTCAGTAGCCACTGTGCTGGCTTCTGTACAAGGATCGGAAGGGGGAAAGCAGCGAGGCACTCCTTTGATTGGCATGGAGAGGTACTCCTACTTGCAGCAAGCGAAGGTTACTTTTCGGAACTCTCGGTGGCTAAGCTTGGCAGTGGATGGAGTTCAAGTGGGCTCCAAGTCCCTGCTGAACACCTTGGCCTGGGATGGCGACAGCGGTTGGGCTTGCATCTGTCCCCCACAGGCGGGTTTGTTTTAGCTGAGAGCTTTTGTTTTGTGGTGTGTGTGGGCTGCTCATTCCAGACGAAGGGCCCTGTTTGCCACTCCAGGAACCCAGGTGGTCCTGAGCCCAGATGTTCCTCACCAGTAGAGCAGGAACCCAGGTGGTCCTGAGCCCAGATGTTCCTCACCAGTAGAGCAAAACAGGCACCCAACTGGTCCTTGCAAGTCGCCGTAAAAAATTGAGGCCGCAAAAATTTGGTTTCGCACCTAAGTCGTCCGCGCCAGTTTGGTACCCAAGTGGTCCGCGCCAGTTTGTCGGGCCCGGCAATTAAGGAAATGAGTAGGAGCCCCCCCCATTTACAACCCAAGTGGTCCGCGCCAGTTTGGTACCCAAGTGGTCCGCGCCATTTTTGGGGTTTTGCAGGGTTGTTTTTTGTCGAAAAACAGCTCCAAAACGCAGCAAAAAACAACCCAAAAAGCAACCCCCGCAGCATCCCCCCATAGCCCCCTCCAACCCCCCCGGTCAACCAGCCTCCCTTTCAGCCAGCCACCCACCCCCCCCCCCATGATCAAAGATGCTGCTCAGGCTTGCGCAAGACTATCTCCGAATGACCCCTTGCTGAATTTTTTTCGCAGAGATCTTAGAGGACTTGGACGAACCGGCGACAACAGAGAGGAGAGAAGAGCAGGGTTTCTGAAGTCCCTGCATGAGTTGCCAGCCCATGAGCAGTTGAGGTGCAAGAACTTTGCTGGTGCACTTCAAGACCGAGTGGAAGGGACCCACAGCACAGAAGTGGAAACGATGCCATGCTGGCTCTAGCTCAGGTCAGAAGGGCCCTGTTTGCTTTCCCAGATCTGCCTTCATGATTGTGCTAGAGTCTAGAGGCACTCTGAGAAGGTTTTTGCTGTGTCGGTATGGGGGTGCTGCCTGGTGTGTGGGACAAACAGAGCAGGCCCAAGCTGTAGTTCATTGTTTTGGTGGCAGTGTCGGTGGGTCGGTGGAATCCACAGACGATACCAAAGGAGCCCACACAACAAAGCTTGGAGATGCAGCTCGGGCAAGACCATGACTCCTGACCCAGAGCCAGCACGATAATATTGAGCTGGATCGTGCTGTCTCTGGGTCAGGCGTCTTTTTTTTTTTTTTTTTTATTAATACTTTTGTTGCCAACCAGTGCCTCTTTAAGTTTAAGAGGCCTTCTGGACTCGGCCTGCCTGTGGGTTTCAGATTCGACCCCGGACATTGAGAAGCGAGGAGGCAAGAAAAAGACCGAGCCTGCAGCAATTCTTAGGATTGGAGTTTGCGACTGATTCTGTGAGCAGAGCGAGCATGAACCAGATCCATTGCTTTCGGTAGGTGGAACAAGCTAATAAAGAAGTGTGTATATATATATATACACATACTTTTTGTATGTAGCTTGTCCTTTCTCCATCTCTCTCTGTATCTCTCTTTCTCTTTATCTCTCTATCTCTGTGCACATGTGTTTTTGGAAGACAGTTAGGGCTCAAGTCGTGAAAGATAACCTTTCGCAGCTACTCCGAAGCACCTATGGCGAGTCCAGTGCTGCCGACGGAATCCGAACCCATTGCGAAGTTGAAGAGGGGTCTACGAAGGTACTTTGAGGAAGACGAAGAGTTCCGTGTGGACCCCCACCATGCAACTGAGCCGCTGCAATGCCTCAGAGACTCCAAGAAACGCTCCCGAGACTTGGAAGCTGAGGGCCGGAGTTTGAGGGCACGGATTGACAGTCTGCAAACACAGCTGGACATTTCCAACAAGGCCAATATAGATGCAGAGCTAGCGATCCAAGAACGAGATCTCGAGCTGGGAACAAAGAACGACCATATCAAGATGCTCCTACAAGAGAGAGATCAGCTCCGGCTCTGTGTCAAGGGAGCACACGAAGCCTCAGGGAGACTCAAGCAAAGCCTGAAGGATCTCAATGCAGCAATGCAAGCCACAAAGATGGCCACCGAGGACGACACTTTTGTGCCATCAGAGTCCGAGGCTTGAGATGTGGCCACAGCGACTGAGACAGGGTGGCCTGTCTGCTGAAGTTGGAAAGCTCCTGAGTTTGAGTCCCTTTCACAAGTTAGTTTCTTCCAAGTCGGCTGCTGTGGAGAAAACAAAGAGCGCTTTGCAGTACTGATTCCTCATGAGAAGCCATAAGACCTGCTAGGCTGGTCAGCCTGCCCGAACACTCTAAGCTTCAGCTTGGGTTTAGGGCTAGGCTTCCAGCCAAGCAGCTTGTACAGCTAGGTCTGCTGATTTGGAAACTGTGTCCTTTCAGGATTAGTAGCTGTGTCACTTTGAAACTGCAAAAGGTGAAAGTACAGTAGCACACCCCTGTTTTACCCCAAAGTGATTTTACTTGTGCACATCATGTTTTCCATCGAGTGTGCAATGACACAGGCGCTTTTGCTTGAAGTGGAAAAGTTTCGTATGGTAGCGGAGCTGTGAAGGTCCACCCTTGGGTACCTGAGCTCCGGGAAAGAGGCCTGGACCCTAGCCTCGACAGTAGGGTAGGTAGTGCCCCAGCTGTAGGTTTGTGCCTCTGAGGGTTGGATCCTCTTCATAGCTTCCTTTGTGCCTGGGCTGCTGGAGGCGGCCTAGTGGGGTGCAGACAGGCAGCTGGGCGGCCAGAACCTCCTTGTCTTTTACCACCGCGCTGTGGGCAGCTGTGGCACGACGGCGACGTGGGGCGGTTTGGAAGAAGCAAAGCAGAAGCTACGTGAGTTTTACTTTGAGCAGCTCTTGTTGCGACCGAAGCCAGAGAATCGAACCCAGAAAGGTTGGCAGAACATCCTGGAGTCAGCTCGCTTGAGTTTGGAGCCCAAGCTGGATAGATTGAGCAGGATCGAGGACGTTTTCGCTTTGGCTGAAAAGTGTTTGAACAAGAACCCGAGCATCTTGGAAGATTTTCGGTTCATCGCAACAGAGAACGTGTGCCGTGAAGCTGTAGAGTGGAGTGCTCAAGAGAACTTTGTGCACGCGACTGAAGAGGGCAAGACGTTTGAGCGTGACCTGGAGATCTTGTCTAGGTTGGACCAGGGCGAGAACACCGGATCGGACGTGTTCGAACAGTCGCTGGAGCCTCGAAGTGAACCACTTGACCTGACCGAGACCAGTGAGCCCACACCAAAGAGGTTGAAGTTCGAGGTGGCATTGAAGCAGTCTGAGGGTTCCGTTGAGCTTTGATCGCAGTCATGGCGTCTCCTCAAGGTCAACCCCAACCTTCCTCAGCCCCGAATCCGTTTGCACAGTCCCAGCCAACATCGCCTCAGTCTGCAACTGCGAGTGTGCCTCAGATTTTGGAAGCCTTAGGCAACATGGTGATGCAGGGCCAAGAGCAGAATCGTTCTTTCATGGGTTTGTTTCAGTCCATGTCCATTGAGCAGCAAAGACAGTCAGAAGAATTGAAAGAAGCGGTCACTCACCTTGGTTCCAGGAAGGAAGCTCCGACGGGGTGGACGAAGTTCATCCCTCGACCTGACCCTTTCAAGCCCAAAGACCGAGAAGAAGAGCTAACGCAATGGCAAGATTGGAGTTGGAGCTTCAAGCAGTGGATCCTTGCAATAAGCCCTGAGATGTATACTGCGATTGAAGAGGTAGAGCAGGATTTGAGTTCGCCTTGTGAAGAAGCCACTATGACCGACGATGCCATCCTACAGGGAAAGCAGCTGTATGCAATCCTCACGAGCATGCTTCGGGAAAGGCCTCTCCAAATCCTCAAGAGTGTCACCGGTGCCAATGGATTCGAGACATGGCGTGTGCTAAACAATGTGCTGGCACCCACCAATAAGACACGAGCGCTTGCACTTTTGGGAGCAATCTCACAGTTTCCGGCAATGAATCAAGGGAATCTCTTGGAGCAGGTGCTACGTCTTGAGGACCTCTTCCGCAAGTACGAGCAGGCGTCGGGAAAGCCAGTTCCGAATGAGATGCAGAGTGCAATCTTGTTGCGTGTTTTGCCCCAGCAAGTTCGGTCACACTTGACAATCACCATCGGTGACGATTCCACGTATGAGAGCATGAGAGACATGATCCTTCGGTGGGAGCGTTCTACACAGAAGTGGTCTTCGCAAATCGTGACAGGAGGGGCGCCGCAGAAACCTTCGTATGATGATCCGAACGGCCCGAGCCCCATGGATGTCGATCGTGTGAAAGGATGGCCTAAAGGAAAGGGCAAATGGGGTAAAGGGGCTGGCAAAGGTGGTGGCAAAGATGGAGGAAAGTATGGAGGAAAGAACGGCAAAGGCAAAGGTGGCAAAGGAGGATATGAGAGTCGTCCAGGCAAAGGAAAAGGCTATGAGAAAGGAGGAAAAGGAAAACAGCCCTCGTGGAGCAGGAATGATTGGAGCAAAGGAGGAAAGGACAGAGGAAAGAAAGGAGGAAAGGGCAAAGAAAGGCTTTCTCATGATGCTTGTCGAATCTGCGGGAAGTCAGGGCATTGGGGCAATGAGTGTTGGATGAAGGACAAAGTTCGAAACGTCAGCCAGAATGATACATCGTCCGCATCGGGGAACAGTTCGTCCGCATCGAGCTCAAATTCATCGACCGGAACAGCAAGTGTGAAGCGTGTGTTTGATCTTGCAGACAGTGATCGACTTGATGTCCCAATGACAACGGTCTATGAGATGGACAGC